AATATTTCAATCCTGCATTTGTGGAAACATAACTGGAAGAACCTACTGCTTGAGGTCGAGGCATAAAAACACTGCTTTCTAGGAGACCATGACCCACAGTACTTTCTTGATTGGTTGCATTGAAATCGGAATACGGAGGGGGAGGATCGGAGACATCTGAATCTTCAAGTGTGCAGCCTTCCACAGCAAATCCAGTGTAGGACATTCGTGGAACAAACATAGGTTCCAAGTTATCTGTTGGCATTTGCCTGCTTAAAATTGCTTGCTGCATTCCTACAAAAGCAAAGAACATTACTGTACTTAACGCTTACTTTGCAATATACTTGACATCACCTAGCTGTAACGTACCCCACCCACCCAGCCCTTACTCGTTATCTCTTCTTTCTTTCTGGTTGTTATTATTAAATGTTCGTCCCTGGCACTGCTTTCAAACACCCGCACCAGCTCTTTTCCTCTTGGTGCCCCCTACTCATCTTTGGCAATTTTCGTATTGATGACTGTATGAGACACTATCCCTAACATCATGCCAAATCTTGCTTATTACTACATCCTACTCTTTGAGCTTGACAGAGAACATCTTCCTTAAATTTAGCAGTACATCCATGAAACTCATCAGTATTAGCACAACTTGATTATCCTAATGATCCTATTTCAAAACCAAAATGCGTTCGAAAGCAAATAAACTAAGTGCAAGCGTGCTACATTTTTATGTGCAGTCATCCTGTACAGTTCATTACCTCTGGTGTAAGTCCCCTAAAACCACAGCTACAGGAAGTTTCCATAACCTGTTGCTCTTTCCACCTCATCTTCTCACTTTATTTCTCTGCTCTTTCTCACATCAAAACGAAGCTATGCTAGGGCTCAGCGTGCCTGCTCCTTTCCACCTGTGTCTTATTCAATACTCAAAGCTTGACTCAGTTTTCATCAGACCAATATCAGCTTTTACTGTTGATATTACATCTTAAAAATCACACTTCTGTACTTTCTCTTACAACGCCCCTTGTGCTAGGGGACAATCTCATGAACACCAGCAAGGAAGTTAACTTGCCTTCTTCCCTCAAATTATTATTTAAAAAACTTTCCCTCCCGATGGCTACGATTAGCCTAGCAGGCTGCTGAGACCACTGCCGATCACGCTCACCTTCTGCGAGCCAAAACATCTGTACTCACAGGACTTCTCACGTTTAGACTGCTAACCAACTAGCTGAGTCGGAATCATCTTTTGAACCCGTTTCTAGATCCCTGGCACAGTGATCCGCAATCAGGGCTCTCGCACTGGCGTAATACTGGTAAGGTAAAAAAGTGGGACACAACCACTGAAATCTGTTCCCTATGCAAAGCCACACATAACGGGTAAACCCACCACTTCCAGGTTTTGACTTTTCTTTAAGTAATCGTACAGTTAGACAGTTGCTATAAATAGATTTGCCCAGTAAGGACGGCGTCTCTTTCCAATCCATGTGGTTTTAAAAATCAAAGCAAGACCAAAAGCCACAGATAGGTCTCGCCTTTAAGGATTTCACAGCGACTCTGTGTTTCATAATGAATAGACGGTAACATAAGCACTACGAGGACTGAAAAAAACCAACTCAACAGCTGAAGAAGTGGTTAAAGAACAATTACAATGGTTAACAGTCACATTGGAAAGGCACATCAAGACGAAGCTCCCCCAGCTCTGCACTGGAACTATACTCGCATTAACAACCTAAATAATGGAATTTAATCAGCACATGCTTATTAAAATTGCAGATAGTGCTATGCTAGTAATAATTTGAAAGTGATCTTAAATGAGATGATTTGGAAAATAATTTAAGACGACATGCACAGGCATAATAAACCGCACAAACTAGAAAATGAGGAACAGTTACACCCTTCTGCAGAAAAGAAACAGGTTTACTGTTGATTTATGTAAATATAAATTATCAACATGCATTAAGTATGCTCAGCTGTTGAGAAACAGGTAAGTATTATTTCAGTACATACTGTAACGGTTAAGACTACAACTGGAATACTGTCTCTAATTTTGAACCCCACAGTTTAAGAAATAGGGAAAAACTGGAGAAACTGTACAAAAGAAAGGTCTAGATATCTTGACTTGAGGAAAGACTGCAATAACTGGGATCATTAGAGAAGACTGAAGAAACAGTTTAAGTCTTAAAATGCACCTAAGAGGCTGCTGTGGGAAGGCAAGCCGAAGGCAGCTTAAGTTGAGTATGATACATTAGACATGAGGAAAAACTTCCTCACAGAAGGTTTGTTAAGCACTGGGATAGACTTAAGTTTTTGACTGGTTTCTAACCGGTTATTAACCTCCAAACATCTGTCAGAATTGACATGGGTATATGTAAAGCTGCCTTGCAGCTAGGCGATAGACAAAATGGTATCAGCTCTACTTACTGTAACACCACACTTCTGGAAAAAGCAAAAATCAAGGCTGAAGAGTTCCTGTAATCACGTCAATGAGATATCTCTTCGGTACTAAAAAGAGCATATTCCCTCAAGCGGCTACATAACAGCACTCCATTTTTGGTCCACAATACGAGAACTGCAGTGGGAGATTTCCTGGCATCTGGGAAGTGCACAGCACTCGCTAACCCTAGGACATGCTACTACATGTACAAAATTATTTCAGCGACCTGGCGAGTAAAGTCGCAACTGACTTTTATACTATATTGTTAAATTCATAGCCTGTTAACCAAAAATTAAGAATAACAAACTTTCAGACAACACTACAGCAGGAATTTGGATCAAATGCTCCCTTTTCCTCCAGCTCAGAGAATGATTAACTAGAGCATTTAACTCCCTAAAACCAAGGAAATTCTCCCAATATTGAGAAAGCGAGAGAACAGAAGGCCAGCTTCACTATTTAGCTACTCACGTCTAAAAATATTGCAGAGATACAAGCTGCATGTTTGCTTCTTGGTTCAGCCCTCTCACATGATTATCCGCTCTGGCATAAATTTTCAGTTCGGCATTTGCATCTCGCTGGTAGTATCTAGAGGCTAGCACCGACTGCTCTTCCTCCTCCTCCTCCCCCATCTTTTGCCATATGGGCTGGGATCAGCTCCAGTCACACTAAATACCCATCTCTACTTCTCGCTAGCTCCCGTAGTAGCAGTTCCCTGGCTGTTTCATCTGCAGCCAAGCAGGAAAAAACAGTGACTCACGCCCCTTCCATCTTTCCAATGGTCTGTGGCTGATGCTGCTCTTTGCCTTATCTTTGAGGTTCAGAGAAGGAAGAACCTTAGAGGAGTGGGCTGACAGATCAAACTTTGCTCTAAAATGCTCATGTGATAACTACCTTGCTTCCAGGAGAAAATAAAAATATCCCGTCATAACATCAAAGGGGTCTATTGCACAATTTAGGGTGTTAACTCATCTAAACCGTCTTTCAGTCTCAGACACAGCTTTAGATAAGAAGATACACAAATAATAAAAAACACCTTGTAGCTAAACTTACAGAATTTGATTATTTTCCTATCATTTCAAAACATGGAAAAAAGAGGCCGTGTCTGCTGAAATATGTCGTTTTCTTATGAATTATTTTCTTGTTTAAATATTACTTCTCATTTGCCTATTCTCTGCTCCTACTCTCTACCTTCAGTCTTCCCTTACGCTTGCAAATGAATTTAGATCATCAGTGTCTCCTTGGAAATGTCCAGGCTCTTCACAAAACCTACCTACTGCTAAGCAAAAGTCTCCTGAAGCCACATTCAATTTTTAGGAAGGAGGGAAAGTGTGGCAAGGAGCCAAGTATGCTCACACAACAGGTCTCACTGATTCAGAAAATTATGGAGCAGCAAAAGAAAAAAAAATAAATACGAACATACACTTTTTACTGGTTTTCCCTACCAGTCCTAAATGCATGCTATGAAATCTTGCACTATTAATACAGAATACAGAACCAACTCTAATAAAAATGTGTATTTTGAATGGGACTTACTTGCAACATGGAAACTTATAGCAAATCAACTCCATACTAATATAGGTAACCAAAACACAGCAGAAGTATAATTTCTGCATTCAGAGCTTCACTAGAAACAGAAGACCACCGTGCTTGTATTGCCTTGAATAAATTGGGCTTCCCCCAAAATGAATCCCCCCCAACACACTGCAAGGGGGATGATATTTCAGTAGCTTCATGGAATTAAAACTAATACAGGTTGAAATCCCTATCAGTGACGATACGGTACTTGAAATAGGTAAGCAAATTCCAACAGTATTCTGCATTCAAACAGTTTCTTCCACTTTCTAGCAGGTACTCCCGAAGATAGGAAAAAATGGACTTTTGGGAACATTTAGTTCAACATCGAAAAGTGATATTCAATGCTAATCATGTCCACCACTAAGTCATCAAATAATGAAAAGAACGCTGACTAAATTAGGAACCAGTAACCCACCAGAAGTGGGAGAGGAGCACAAAATCATAGATGGTCTCCTCTAAATCAATGGTGAAGAATCTTATGCATCCGCTAAAAGCTGCAAGGTCAAAATATCATTTAGACAACACTTCAGATGATCTACATCAATATTCATCACTTAAGCACTCACTTTCCTTCACCCAGTTTGTCTGGTGTCCAGTAACAGAACTGAATAATAACTTAATTGGTGCTGGGCTTGTATTTGGGGATAGGGTTGGGAAGTGGGAAAGGGAATAAAGATTTCAAAAAAAAGCATTGATAGCTACTGGCCTGTAAACGCGGTACCCTGTTTCTATGTAATACTTCAAAAAAGGAATCTCTCCAGGGTTTAGATTTGCTTTTTCCATTCCTGGCGTTGCTCCACTTTTCCTTTCCTACAACAGATCTTTTCCTGTGTTGTTTCCAGAATTTACTTTCTCGTTCTTTACCTTTGTCTCTCTCCTATGTTTTGAGTTTCCTAACATTGAACGACTCCTACAAAAATATCTGCAGTACACATACTTTCACAGTTCATTCAATGTAAATCCATCATATGCCCTTCTCAATGTGTTTTTTTTTTATTTTGCTATGAGCTATCAGGAAAACAACTCAAAATAAGTCAACAGTGTTCTGTCTTCACAAGCTTCTGCTTCTGAAACAAAAAAATAAAAGGAAACTTACTTATTTCTTGTTCTTTTTCATTTTTCTTTTGTGCGATTTGCCTTTTTAACTTGTTTACATCAGCTTGAAAAGATTCAACAACACGTTCGCTTTTTTCTACATCTATACATACTGCCTAGGAGAAAAACATAAGATATGCTAAGATTTGCAAAAAGGGAAAAGACTTCCATGACAACATTAATAAAGCTCTTACCAAACAAGAAGCCATTAAAAGCACAAAACTAAGAGCAGGAGTTAACTATATCAGAGCATATTATTCAACCTGAAGATTGTTTTCTTTACTGGCTGTTGCCAAATCTCAACTGCTGCATGATAGGAAAAGCATTTCCAAATAATTCATCAGTACAGGAAGATTTGTAATAAGATACAAAAGTAAGTTACTCCTATTTGGTGGAAGAGACTCGACCTTTTGTGGGTTTTTTTTTTGTTTGTTTGTTCTTTGTTTGTTTGGGTTTTTTAAAATTTTAAATACACTGCTGTTAGCACAATAATGATACTATGGTAGCATGGTTTTAAAATGTAGCGTGAAGATGAATGCTTTTTCTACTAGACCAAATTCCAATTGGGGTATGAAACAGTTGACTCAAGAGACAACTGTTCCAAACTGATCTCCTAACTGATCTCTCTATTAAAAAAAAAAGACCCATGGATTTTTCAACAAGAATTTCCTATACTGGTTAGGAAATAAAGGTGAAATTTTCATAGAAGGATCTAAGTTTAAAAACAGGTCTGGATAATATTAATTTATTTTTTAATCTAAACATGTTATACTAGCTATTGTTTACTTCTTCAGAAATTAAGTATTGGTCATTATCATTAAACATTAACATTAAACATCAGTTTTAAAGAGTACACAATTCTAAAAGCACTGATGCGTCTTAAACAGTAAGTCACCAGCCATTTACTGTTTCTTCTCCAAAAGGTTACTGCTAGTGATCTTACCTACAGAGCTGAAAAACACTAACCATGCTTTCAGTTCTATATCTAATTTTTAGAATTTTATAAAGTTTGAACCTTCCCCTCCCATCTAATTGGTGAATAATGCAAATACACGTGTCTCAGCTGCTTTAACAGAAAACTTATTTCCAGTCCTGTAATATTCTCCGTGAAACATTCACTTTAAAGGTAAAAGTTTCTCCAGTTAGCTAACACCTAAGTTACTTTTAAGCTCTGTAAACAATGCACAGCAGCATGATTTGCATGGTGAAATACAACAAAGTGATACTTTTAACAGGTAGGAAGACAACTCCCTGATGATGTTACATTTTCCATTTTTCCAGACACTAATTCAAACAACAGCAAGAGAACGAAAGGATATATGCACTCTTGGCAAAGACAGCGTTACAGAATAATACCATTAGCTAATGGGATAGGCCTCTGAAAATAAATTTTCATGTCTCCTGAAGCTGGCATGAAAGCTGTCTGCCTTCTCGATGCGAGTTACCCATCTTATAAGGCAGGTTAGAAAGCAGCAGCTTCCACGGGGAAATAGCAGATCTCCCGTGCAAGCAGGGTCAGGGGATGGTTGGAGCGATTACTGCCTTGTTCTCCGCTATACGTGCCAACCAACAAAGCTAAGCCGGAGCAGAGAGACAAATCCCTCCAGGGCAGATGTAAGGGGAAAGCCTAGAAATAATCTGTGACTACAGCACAATTAGCAGATGTGTGCGCTCCCGAGGCAGCACGGCTACGCTGCTCTTCACATAGGACAAGCTGTGAATTGACAAGCTTACATTTAGTAGATTTGACACTCAAGGCACTTTCAGATGCTTTGCCACATTTGGAGCAGAATTCACTCATGCTCTACACAAAACATTCACAAGTTTTAACTAACAGATGGAGCTCTTTGCTGCATGCTACATACCAAGAGCCAGGAGTCATTTTTAAACTCACACAGGCAAGCTTTTAAACCTGTGCAAATCCCTACAGCCTTCAGCAAGGCTTTTCTTCAACGCGTACTCTTAAAAATAGCTAGTGTCTCCCAGAAATCACTAAGCATTAAATCATTCTTACTTGCAAAAGAGAAAGAATTGATGATATTCAGATCAACCACTTTTACAGCAGCCACTGCAAATGCACACATTAAATAGAAACTGGCACTTTTCATTATTAAAGTCAGACTTACTTTCCTACAGTTCATAATAAATCGTTCATGAGGTCTAAAAATCTCCGTCTCCTCCACTCCCGGTTTAAGCAAAGGACAAACAAAAGACGCCACATACATACTGACCAATATTAAGTAAAGGAAGTTACCTGTACTTTTTCCTGAAGTGCATTATAAACCTGATATATAGCCCTGATGTCCTTCATCACTCCATCTTTGTCAAAAAAATCAGTACTAAAAAAAAAAAAAGAAAAGAAAAGCAGAAGTCATTAGTTAGAAAAGACAACACAAGTTTCTAGCTCATGCTGGTTTTGAATTGCTGTTAAGCAGTCTATCACTATATTTCTAAAATGTATTTTATTTTATATTACTAAAAATGTACGATACTCTCAAGAACCAACATCTGGACAGCAGCATATTCAATACCAAAAATTCCTTCTGGAACAATAAAGTCCCATTTGAATGAGATTAAACGTGCAGAAATCTTTACGTTTGTATAATTTCATTGTTAATAGGCAGAAGAGCTACTCTGTATTTACAGCATTTAATTAAAATTACTGAAGAAAAACAACAGGATTTCAACACTTCCGAGTCAGTTCAAGTTTTAAATCAAGCTTGCACACAGAATTCCTTGGGGGGGCGGGTGGAAATCAAGTACGAAACTTCCAGTCAGAAGTCCCACAGCACTGCCTGGCTGTACCAACTCTGCTTTTCTGATTAGTGCACCAAGTCAGCTTTGCTCTTCTTAAAGATTCAATTCTAAGCAGGACAAAAGGGCGCTGCAAACTAACCATTCTCCTTCAGAACTATTTTTTTGCTGCTTGAAATGTGTATTTGTAGTACTCATTGGAAGGTACAGAACACAGAACTTGATGACTGTACTTCATTTGCAAAGGAAAAATCCTTACCCATGTTCCTTAATAACTTTGGCATAATTCTGAGAAGTATTTGGCACTGAAGAAACTTTGTATTCCTGTTGACTAGTGTTGCCTAGATTAGGTATAGTAAGTGACACCCTTTGATTATACCTGTAGAGAAAGTTTAGAAAGACTTCTTAATTCATATTCAAAAGGTTATTTACAATAGCCTTGATATCATCCCATTTCCCTGATGATCACAACTCATCTAATTTTAAAACTTCTGCATTAGGTTTATTAGAAAAGCTGCAAAATACTCAGAAGTTACGTTCAAAATAAATGCATGATCAAAAACTCTCTTGAGAGAGACTGACCTCCGCACCTCTTAGAACCTTTTAACTGTGCATTCAAACTACCACAGATACAAGAAGGGTGAAGCAACATGCAGGTCTATTATAAGAAACATGGTACTAACATCTGATTTCTCTTAAAATATTTTTTTGCTGTTGTTGTCTGAAGATTCAAAGATTGAAAAGAACTTTTGCTCACCCCAAAGCTTTAATGTACAAGCTACTTGCACAGAAAAAAAAGAAGCTGTCATCACTAACAATTGTACCCCAAGACATCATTTGACAAACACAAAACCTTCTTTACGTGTAATTGTACCCACTTCAAAATAGTTTAAAGAACAGCAATGAGAAGCAGAACAAAAAAATAAGGATTGGTTCATATGCAAAGACTGCTTACCTTCGGTTTGGTCTAAAAAGCACATATTCTAAAGCATGTGTTGAGTTATTTGCAGTGGAAATGAAGCTGAAGAGAAGGAAGACAAGATCAGGCACTCCAAGAATGTGTGTCAGCTGTTTATGAATGATGTGCTCTCTGTATGACATTTGCTGCTGAGTGTTTCTCCTAAATCTGTACCATCCAATAACGTTCTGTAATTGAAGTACATCAGAAAAAACCAAAGTGTTAACTGAGAGATACAGATTTACCTTCTGATAATAAAGTTGCTCAAACTGTGGTATCACGTGACTCAGCCAACAGCTTTATTACAACAAAATTGGACTGAATTACTAGAGGCTTGCACCTATTAAATAGCCCCAAACAAGTGACAACCTGTTACAACACAACTATTAATTGCTCAACTTTACTGTGGTACAAACACCTGTGTGTCCTCAGTGGCATCCAGGATCCCACTTCCAATATACTTCAACCGTTTAATTTTAGCAACAAACATTGGAGCATCTTTAAATTATTAGACCTGAGCTGTTTTCAAACACAGCGGATGTGAGTTTTCTTTAGCCTAAATATTTCAACTGCCTATTCACTTGTATTGATTTGTAAGACACTTCCTGTGCTTCACAAATGTATTTGCAAATTCATGTCTGTTTATGAGACATATGAGACTAATCTGCTGTGTACAATAAAATTATCTCATTGCGTATTGAATTGTGAAAGATTTGTATGCACATCACAGAAGACCCATTTTCATTCAATGATTACTTTGAATAAGGCATTAACATCCTTTATTTCATGTAAACTAACATTTGATTTAAGAGATTAATGAAAAAGGACACATCATTAATAATTTGGTTTCGGAAGAGTCCCAGGAATAGGCACTATCATGTAGCGATGCATGTATACACTCAGTGGAATAAAGCAGATTCTACGTATTAAACAATATAACTCCCAGGTCAAATAAAAGAATTGAAAGCATTGTTTTTAACTTTTTATAGCAAATCCGTACTATTACGTAGTCTGAATGTAGTAAAACGTGCTTAGTTTGCTAACAAAAGAGAATACAACACTGTCTTGGTTCCTAGACAGCAGTATTTCTTTCCTTTTTGATGTTATGACAATTAATGTCATTAAATCTGTGATGCTTTAGCCACATGACACTTGCAAGTTTAAATTTCTCCAATTTTGCCTGCTTTCTTACTGCAGATAACACATCTTGCTAGACTCTCCCTGCAGGGTAGGTCCTAATAAAATAAAAGTCAACTGAAAACTAGTGGGAGACGAACATTTTTTAATTATGTTTTTTGCCTTGTCTCCTGAAGGGGAACTTAATGTGCTCTGTACTGTTCTAGAGTAGAGTTACAGGGTTACAGAATTCGGGATCTGAGACTGGAAACTCACTCCATCATCAGCATAGAGGTGTACCTGTCTGTATGCATAAATATACAAACAACACACCTATGCACTAAGCATAAATACATTCGTATACAGAGAGGAGTTTATTCTGAGAGCATTTGCGGGAAGAAACAGACAAGAAAAAAAACATTACAATGATCAGCGTTGCAGAAGTTGCACAGATTTAGGACTTGCTTCCCTAAAGATCCCCCCTCAACTTAAGCCTTGTCTGTAAGCTGAAGTCTGTAATTCAGGTGGGTAAGACAAAGTCAAGACTGCAAATTCAATTAGCAATTGAGCCACTGTCATCACACGCTTTGCATAACTATGATCAATTGATACAGTAGGCATCCTTACTCAGGCCAGAGCAGCGAAAGTTACGCTACAATCACCTGTAGAGGACAGAAATCCCAAAAGCCCAACGGGCCATGCCTGGACAGTTACCTCTGCTACTACGGAAATGCGATCGGCAGCTCTATAAGCAGCTGCAACAACAGCGGTTTGCTGCTGCTTTGTAAAATAAATAAAACAAGAAAAAAGTTCTTGTTTTAATCAGCCCTACTTTGTACTAGCTCCGGTCTAATCAGACATTAAGAGCCGAATTCACATCCTAGTGACGCTGTCCTGCTAGGTCTAACAACATCCACAGCTGCCACAGATTGAACCATGTAAGTCAGTCGCTCATCCTTTTGCCAGAGCAAGTTGAGCGGTGGATACGCTTCACCACGTAAGGAACCACACCTTCTGCGCGGATCTTTGACAAACCAGTTCCTGAGAATTTCCAAATCAATTATTCGATAATTAGAAAGATAGTGCGCCACAAGTATGGAATGAGATGAAACACTGAAAAAAGGTTTGACTCTTCTCCAAACCACTTCTAAAGTTTAATCTTCTTAATACTAGTTGTGCTACTAACAACAGATGCGTGATGTAAAGCTATGACAACATCTGACATAACTGAGAGATCCGCTGTCCCAGTTTAAAACTGACAGTGCAAAAATTGCAATTACAAGGCAATATCATTACAACTCTTTTAAATGAACACTTTGGAACAGATTTTCACATCAGCTACGTTTTTGTTGGTTTCGGCAGCAGAGCACACAATCGTAATGCTGCATGTTTAACTCAGAAATTTGAGTGGATTAACACTAGCCCTTCACTTTTGGAGACCTAAACTTAAATCCTTGGCATTTCTTCAGGGAATTTAGATGTTGCTCCCAATTTAAAGTAACCTAAGTAGCACAAATCCACCAACTTCTGTACCGGAGAAAAACAAACCCGGGTCAAAAACAAACCCTGGGTCAAAAACAAACCCTGAGTCAAAAACAAACCTTCAGATTTGTGAACAAAAATATTTATTCCAGTTAACTACCTTTTTTTACTTGTTTGCTTTCCAAAACCACTCTTTCTAATTATAGACTGTAATGACTAGAACAGGAGTAAAAGATAGAAAACTTACTTTTCTTCGGTCTTTAAGAATCCTGTCCAAACTCTCCTCATTAACCTTCCCTGCATAGTCATAAAAGCTTGAACCAAAAAGGAAGAGAGAAAGGTAGGTACACAGTTTACACACACATTACACATAAAGTAAATAATTTATACTTTGAGTGCTCTTCGAATAGATGGCATTCTGTACATTATAAAGCAACTTCCGTAGTTTTACCTTTACCAACACAGGTCAGTATTCACACCACCTACTTAAGGTACCCAACTCGGGTGCTATACAGAGCACAGTTAAGACTCCTGCTTGACTACACAGCTAATAGACAGATGCAGTTGCTCACAGAGGAAGGTGCAGAGCATTTAAATTAGACGCATAAGACTAGCTGCTGTGAAAACTCTAACCCCTTTTAAACCACTAGTAGTGAAATACAAGATGCCTGTAATTATTAGTTTTAAAATGCTTTCACTGCACGCATTAGTTTGATGCCTAGTAGTTCGCTGCCAGCCCCTACAACAAGGGGTACGTACATAAATGGACTGTGTGATTTTATTTTGACCAGCATTCTGTAAATCCCTGCTTTGATAATAAGAGGCCTACCTGCCACAGAAGAAAGGAAAGCAGGGCCCTTTTACATGCAACTACCAATCAGTTTCTTGAGCTCCGGTCCTGCAATTAAGACTCACATGATTGGACCCTTGAAGCCAAAACATTTATATAGAGGTCAGCAAGAATCCACAGTATCATGGTCTTTCCATATAGCTCTGCTTACAGAACTGAGGCCTAAACCCTGACATGTTGTTATTTTGAGGACGTGACAGATTTAAGAATTTATAAATCTATCTACACAGACAGGTTTATAAATTCAAGTAGATCACACTTCATGATAAAAGGAAAAACATTTGAAAATAGATTCCTCCTTGACTTACCTGCCAAGTCCTTAGTCTCTTTCAAGAGCTGATATCACTAACACCTAAAGCAGTGCAGGAAAACACTGTTTTAGAGGTCTATGATCTCAACTCTTGTGAGGGGGGTTAAAAAAAACACAACAGAAAATCCTGAGCTCAGTACTTGGCTGGTAAATAAGGGTGGAAATAAAATTTGTTTCAAGATTCAAGTTAGTGAATATTGAGACTACAACTAATTACTAATTTGAGATACTACATAATATTTGTATAATCTTTTCAATTCACGTTCACAATATTTGTACGTTCTTGTAAGTAGCAAATATCCAATTTTTGTCTATGCTTTATAAAATAATTTTCCTATAGGATGAGCAACTTGCACGTAACGAAACACTTCCCTTTGAAAACTGCACAGAGAGAAATCAGTCCTTTTAAAATCCTTGCTTCACATTCAGATCCCATGTGTTAGCAAAAGCATGGGAACCAAGCCTGTTATACTCAACATCAGCAGTGCCAGCTTACAAGAATAGAGAGGGGATGAGCGACAGGGCTTCTCAGACTGACTACATTTAAGTCAAAAGGATAAGACAGAACGCCCCAAAATCAGCATCTGCTACAACTAACGGAGCAGAGAAACCAGCATCACACTCGGGTACTGATAAAAAGCTACATGAGCTGTGAGAGTTTTCCCCGTGCTCTGAAGTAAATAAATTCATCAGTTTTCTTGTGCAGAAAGCATGCAGTGAAATACAGACTTCTTCCCCTTCCTCCATCAGCTCAGTTACTAACAACCAATTTCTTGACTGGGGAGAAGCAGCAAACGTGATCGGTTTTGATATGCGCTGCACAAAGCATCACTAGGAATCACACAGAGTCTACCAGACACTGGGATATTATCTTGATGTGCAGAGTCTCTAGCATTTAAATCACTGGGTTAAGAGTACCCTCTCTGTAATTATCAGATGGCAAATGATAGACTGCAGCTTTTCTTTCTAATGTAACTAATGTCAATCATAATATCTAAGGTACCATCTCTTCTTAATTGGCTGGAAATCTCTAAATAAAGACAAGAGGAAATTAATTGGGAATTCCTTCTAAAAAGAATTTCTAGACAACAATTTAGAAGCCATCACTGTATAACAAATGAAGACTATAGAGAAAAGCTACATATAAGTAGATGGAAGCTGCTAAGTAGAATATATTAGACTTATATTTAATTTAATTCTGGAGTACACATTCTGGAGCACAGGAGATCAGAAGGCAAAGATAACTAGCAAGTTGAAAGTTTCAGAATAATTAGTTGCTGCAAGTCAGTACAACTAACTACAAAACAACCTGTTAAGCCAGCGAGTTACTAAGGTTAGGGCACACACAGTGTTCTGTGACCCATCATGCCCAAGCAGAGCTATCCTAAGACTACAATAATTCAAATTGGTTTTGACATTCATCCTGATTATCAAGAGTGCTATGGTTTGTCTGACTGCTATCATACCTCCACTAACTACATGTGAATTTCCACATGAGGGGGAAATTCAGAGACAGAGAAATAAGGCTGTACTAGCTACCTCAGCACCCTTTCCAACCCAAGGTAAGTGCTACTGAAACTGTAAACTCATACTTTCATTGGCGTGGTTGGTGCCATTTACATGTATTTCAGTCATATCATCAGATTAGCAAACAATGCAAACATTGGTAGGTACATTTGAAATGCTAATATATTTCAGTGAGCTACCTATTTTCATATTCTGCAGCCAACATAGGAAGACAAGAGAAAATGCTTACCTAAAGAGTTTTGAACAAGGCTCATGGTTATGGATTTCTGCAACAACAAACACAGAGAGAGAGACATATGTCCAACTGCTCAAGGTAAAGAGAAATTACAGTGGCATATCTTGCATGAACTTTCCACATCACAGCTACTGAACAAATAAACATTTGTGTCAGACCACACACTGCCCTTAATGTCTCAACGACACTTGAGGACACAGCACCATACCCGGAAAACTAGCTTCTCTTCCTCTGCCTTTTTACAGAGGAAAATATTTTAACAATAAGCAAGACATACACTTGCTCAGATACATGTAGATATATCTGAGCCTTAAATACATACTTCTGATACTATTTAGTAGTTGTAACCTCCTCACAAAGGCATTTATGATTATTTTTATTTTTGATGCACCCTTCCACAACAGTTTGCTTGCATTCATACACACTGTTCATTACAGAGCAATGAATAAGAAAAGGGATGGGGAAAGGAATCACTGAAATGTTATACATTGGAGTATTTAACCAGGCAAGGAAAACAGAATCTATGATGAGAAAAGGGGTTAAATGCAAGTCCAGAATGGTTAGCTGCAATATATAATTCTGTTATAGAAAGTATTAAAAAGTCACAGCAGTATTTTTTTTTTCATTGAAGAGGTTGTAATAAATGCTAAGATGCTTATTTAAGCAGCAAGGGTTGTAACATGTCAGTAATCTTGGAGAAGAGCGAGAAAAGAGCAAAAATCCCATTCACACTATCTCTGTAACACCAAGCATGACTGACTGTTTTGTGGCATTTAGTACTTCTTTAAAGTTCTCCTCTACACTGACTTTTTACCAAGTACAGCTTATCATTTATTCATATCATTATCCCTTGATCACATAACTTTTGTCTGAAACTGTATTTGCTCAGACTGAACAGCACTTACGTAGCAATAATATTTCAAGCTCCTACGTTAGAACCCCGCTGGAGTTGTTTAGCAACAACTTTGTTTAGACTCTTCCTTCCTGGAGAGTGACTCACCACCTGCTGTTCTGAAAGTCACAGGCTGCTCATGATTGCAATCTCAGCAGAGTCAGAATCAGATCACAATTCCCAAGAACAACAGACTACGCACATTAGCATCTCAGCATATTTAGCCACTATCAAAACAAGGCCCCGATCCACGGCAGGCGTACTGCCTGAGAAACCGTACATCTTCACTGGCAAGAAGTCCTCCTGATGCTGCTGCTACAGTTCCTTTATTTGGAATATATTCAGAGTTGTTTAAAAGTATATCAACACCGTAATTTTACACTGGCATACAGGAATTTGTGCATACGATTTGCTAAACAAAGCCAGGTAACTTTAATTATTCCAGTTCAGACCAACTCCTTCCAGCACATATACTGACTACAACTACTGAGAATACACACTTAATTCTCAGGTTATGACGCTGCTACATAAGCCTTGTCTTTTGAAAAACAGGAAGCAACACGCCTACTGCTCAGAAAACATGAAGCAGCCATCATTCTAAATTTAAGTTTTACACATTGACTTACTTTATCTAGAGATATATATAGTACATATATACCCAAACACCACCACTAAGCTTTGAGACAGCAGACATGTAAGAATGTTAAAACTCATCTGTAACAACAGTGCCACAAAACTGTCAGTCTCAGTTCAGGAGCCGAACTGGGAGTTCAAGAGTTAATGCTGATGAAAAAACACTGAAGTAAAATTTCGGTAAACAAAAAATATCCAGATCATCTGGGGAGGACTGGGGGTGGGTGCGGGGGTGGCGGTGTTTGTGCGTGTGTGTAATTTCTCTTCTCAGAAAATAACTGTAACCAGGAACGTCACAAAAGAGTTATCTAAAAAGGGAATAATTTTTAACACCACGAACACTCGGTTGATGAAACCACACTGAGGCTGCAGTCGTTGACACTACTGTGTTACACTCTCAACAATAACTAAGATCAGTTACCACTGAATAGTCATGTCTAGTTTTGTCCAGACAGACATAGCTACCAGCTGCCTTCCTTTATACAATACCTTGATAGCGACTATATACACACACAAAAAAATCCTATGCCTTTATTTTTTGTAATTTAGCTCAGTTAATTCATTGTAATTAATTGACACTTCACACAGTGATTTTATCAGCCACGTTTCCTCAGGAAAAAACAGAACAGGAAACTACTTAACCTTCTGGATTCTTGCATACACAACCGTCACCACTTTAAGGTGGCAAGTGTCTTGAGATGTAACACAATATAGTATGTACTTTCAGAGACCTTTAGTTCTGTATTGGAAATAACATTTGAGAGTCAATCGCAAGATCTTTGTGTATTAGCTAAGCTTTATTCAGATGCTGCTATGTTATCTAGTATCAGATTCACAAAGCCAGGTATGTACACATTCGGGTTTTTAAACAAGGTTTGTAAGTATTTCAACATCAGGTTATATATATGGGTACAAAAAAAAGACATTTACTTTCAGGGGTTTCCTATTTTCTATAAACCATAGAGCTAAAAAAACACGCAACAGCATCTCACTCATGTCTAAAAACATCTACTTCAACCAACAGCACTTAACAGCAAGATCTTAGATCTTCTTTCACTTTTCACAACAACAACAAATCAGCTGTACAGTAAGTGCATGTGCTTATCAATAAAGTAAATTGTTTGACAAATATTCCCTGGTCAATCTTGCTGTGACAGTTTACGATGCCATCAACTACCAGCCATTCATCCAAACTCCCCATTGAAATTTGCCCCCTTTCAGTATCAGTAAATCAAGAAATGCATTTATTTCATTTTGAACACATGCCTGTATTTAGACAACCATATCAAGCAGGAAATTCCCTGCAGGATCACAAGCCAAATGAATCACTTCTCCATCACGAAATGCAGATAACTGTCTTCAGTGAACGATCTTTTCTTCACAAAAGGAGATGCATAAAATCCCCAAATCTAGCAAAGGTTTATTTCCTTTCCTCATACCTCACCCATGAACACACAAATACTGCAGCAAATATTGTTTTGAGAGACCGGAACATCTTGTGCTGGTCTCACAAGTGAAATAATTCTTACTGAATTGTACTGAAAATTTAAAAAACTGAACAGCACTTCTTTCAGAATTTCTCAAAGTTCTACTACTTACCAATCACTTGTAGAAATTCAGTGTTGCTGATCTGTGAATCGCTGATGCTAAAGGTCTCTTCTTGTCTCACCTCTCCTAGCAGAAATCCTTCCTATAATTTCAAGGGGCGGAAAAAAGAAAGACTAAAAATAGAAAAAAATCCTCCACTGTATACAGTCATTTACTGTAGCTTTCTTAGCATTAAATGGAAGAATTAAACCAAAGATTTAGATTGCAATACATATCTGAGCTATACAGTAGGTATGACCTGTCCCTAGGTTTACCAAGACTGATTTTCTGATTTACCAACATCCTTTCAAAACACTACAGGAACAGGCTGTCCAAAAATAACATTCTACTGAAAATTTCCATAGGTAACACGCAACACATACACAGTAAACCCAGATTACATAAAGAATCAGTCCCAGCTACGCAGGATGTGGTGGATGAGGAGGAGGCCTGAGGATGGTGCACCGCACCACTGCTGCTCCGTTCCTTCAAAGATAAAGGGAAGTGGAGTTTACACCTGCAGAGGCTTACTCAAATTTACATATGGAGATTGGGCTGGACCCTGAACAAAACCAGAGATCATAAAACTCAGGAGATAACTTTAAGTCATCTTTTATTACCCATCCCCACCCAAACCAAAGAAGAAGAAGAGGCAGGAATCGGGTGCTTTTGGCACAAGCACTGAAACGGCAGTGCAGTTTCCTGGTGCAAAAATAAGGCAGCAAACTCCGACTAGAAGTTTGTCAACACACCAGGGATATTTAGAAACACCCCGGTTCTGCATTGTAACCGGGGTTAGTTACCGGGGCGGGAAAGCGAAAGCTACTGCAACGTGCAGGCAAACACCCGTAGCTTTTACACAGCCGTTTGCTGCCTGCAGCCCATTCCCCGCACGCCACGGGAGCCCCACGTCCAGCCCAGCCGTGCCCCACA